TTGGGGATTTCATCTCCAAATAGGGAGATTCAGCCAGAGGGGTCTCACTGTCCCTCTAAAAAGGCAGTGATGATTCCGTGAGTGGTGGCAGCAAACTTAAGGAGTGAGATACGCCCACGGGATGAGGGAGAAAGGCAAACAGCTGAGTTGTAAACTGGAGCCCGTTTCACCATGGTAGGCAACCAATCTTGGTTCAGACAAAGCAAACCCTTTGCAGGCCTTTGTGAGGAACTCATTGGGGCTACTCCTGACTAGGGTTGCCAGCTCCAAGTAGGGAGATTCCTGGAGATTTTCTGGTAGACTCTATGGAAGCCAGGATTTGGGGAGAGGCCTCAGCTGAACAGAATGCCATACAGCCCACCTTCCAAAGCAGCTATTTTCTCCAGGGGGGAGAGATCTTGTCTGGAGTTCAGTTGTGATATCTGATTATCTTCAGGCTCCACCTGGAGGTTGGCTGCCCTAGGCGTAGCAGTCAGTGCTTCAGAGCAGGGTCTGCTAGATCCAGGTTCTTGCTGTAGAAGCTGAGTGGGTGATTTTGGACCAGTCACAGACTTTCAGCCTAACCTACCTCACAGGGTTGCTGTGCAAGTCAAAAGTGGGAGAGGAGAATGATGTAAGCTGCTTTGGTCCCCGTTGCAGAAAAAGACTACTTTTTCCCCTGGGAAACCATTGTTGCCAATCTCCAGGTGAGGGCTGGAGATCACTCAGAATTACAACTGCTCTCCGGATGGCAGAGATCAGTTCCCCTGGAGAAAATGGTGGACTCTGTGGCAGTCAGGGCTTCAGAGCATGGAAAATTGTTGACTCCGTGTCAGACAGGGCTTCAGAGCACAGAAGAGACTGCAGGTGTGTGTGTGTGGGAAAATGGAAAGCTGAAGAGAGAGGGGGAAAATAAAGGTAGGTTGAATATTGGCTGGGAAGGAGATAGGGTTGCCAACTCCAGGTGGGAAATTCCTGGAGATTTGAGGGATGAAACCTGGAGAGGGTGAGGTTTTAGGAGGGGGGGGACTCCAACCTCCCAACCAGCCATTCCCTTCTGGGGAACCACTGTTGCCAATCTCAGGAAAGGGGTGGAAATCACACAGAATTACAACTGATCTCCAGGAGGGAGCGGGGAGGAGATGCAAAGCTGAAATCAGAGGGGCAGGTAATGGCAGGTTAATGCTTGGCTGGGAAGGAGATAGGGTTGCCAACTCCAGGTTGGGAAATTCATGGAGATTTGAGGGGTGGAGCCTGGAGATGGTGAGGTTTGAGAAAGGGTGGGACCTCAGACAGGTACAATGCCATAGACTCCACCCTCCAAACCAGCCATTTCTTCCTGGGTAATAATGGTTGCCAATCTCCAGGTGAGGGCTAGAGATCACTGAAAATTACAACTGCTCTTCAGGTAGCAGAAATCAGTTCCTCTGGAGAAAATGGTGGACTCGATGTCATTATACCCTGCTGAGGTTGCCACAGCACATTGACGCTGAGTGCCCAAGGCCTTGGCACTCTCCCAGAGCTTCTTTCTAGAGCTCATTGTATTTATTTCCACAATGAGCCTTATTCCTAGTTTACAAATAATTGTTATAGCTTAAATAGAAATATAGCTCAGCCTTGTGGTAGGTCTCTCTGCGGCAGCAGGAAGAGCTCAGCACCCTGAGTGACAGCCTGTCACTCAAATGTTCATGAAAAGCTTCTTTAGAAGGGAAAACAATCCACTTCAGCTGATTTTTCTGGGCAGAAGCGGGACCCAGGCATTCCATAGGACAGGCCTTGGAAAAGAGGATTGCCCTTTAAAAGACCATCTAGTCACTCTACCTTATGGAAACAAACAGGAGATATATCTGATCCTGGACTGTACTCGTTTTAGAGTTAGACATTTGACCAGTTGAGACTGATTAGGTCAATGGATTCGTTGCCGAAAGGGTTGCTGGGTCCCCCTTGGGGGGGACTTACTGGGAGCATCAGGGAGGCCCATCCGATGTATAGTGATGTGTCTTCATCACTGCCCATGTGACCCAGAAGCGACATCATCACATCCAAGACATCAGGGCAACACTGTGGTACAGGATTACCAGGTCCCCCTGGCGCTTGGGGGATCCCCTGTCTTCTGGCGCTTCCCCTGGCACCAGCCAGCTGGCTGGCAGGGAAGAGTTACCACCCCAAGCACGACATGCCTACATCACCTGGAAGGCATGTTGGTGACATCGGGGGGGGGACATACTCTAGTTGTCCTCCACATGCCTACATCACCTGGAGGTGAGGTAGGCGCAGCATGCTTCTTCTCTTCCCTCTCCCAGAGCATCCTGGTAAGTCCCCCACCAGCTTGACATTTGGACCTGGCAACCATACTCTGGTATTTGGGCAAAAGCTCTATGGCAAATTTGGCTTCTACCATAGAGTTTTTGCCCAAATACCAGAGTGTCATCCCAGACGTTATTATGTGACTTCTGGGTCACGTGGGCAGTGTCATAGAGACATCGCTGCACGTTGGATGGATCTCTCTCTTTTTCAGGGTAAGTCCCCCCTGCTTGCCAGCGGATTGGCAGCGGGGAGGCGAGGCCTGGCAGCGCGGAATCCCCGCCTCTACCGGGGGATCTGGCCACCTTGACTGCCAAACAATTTTAAAGCATTCATTTATTTATTTATTCATTCATTTAGGCAGTTCCCATCTTAGCGCAAAGGTTTTCCAGGGCATCTCCCAACAAAGAAAAGTACTATCACTATCAAAAGCCCCCCATACCTACCCAAAGTAGAAAACATCTTCAAGCAGCGTAAGCAGGCTAAGAACAATTAAAACCCACCCAAATGAAAAGTCCATCAAGATGTATAACTCCACAGAAGTCCATCAAGATGTATAACACCACAGACCTGTAACATTAAAGTGATAAGAGTAACCAGAGCAGAATTACCTACTAAACTTGATTAGACCTGCTTAGGATTGCTCCTGCATTTGAATTTTGGTCATGGGGGGAACTGTGAAGTACATTATTTCATTTTTCTACTGAAGGAACCAAAATGTCCCTGCCATTTTTGGGGGGGGAAACCCCTTGCAAGTATTTAAAAACAGCATGTTTGGGAGAAGGCTAGGATATAATTTGTCTCCCTGACATCTGGTTTTCTGTGTGCTTTTTTTTTTTTTAGGATAAATATTTAATCCTTTGCTTGCAGCCAGAGTGGTACAGTCTAGAAATACAGTCCTCAGCTGCTGTTTGTGTGTGTATGAACTAGACTGTAGTTCATCTCATCTATGTGGTTATTTTTTCTCTGTTTTATGAGAGTGGTGTTTATTAAAATGGCTGCCCTGTCACTGTGGAAGTGTGTGACTCGGCACTGCTGGGTGATGAGTCAAGGTTTCACTGCATTATACTTATGCAAAAGGTTGCCTATTAGAAAGGCCTCCATGCAAAAAAAAGAGAGAGAGAGAGACTGATTCATGCTGTTGTCTCCCCCCCCCCTTTTTTTGTTTGTTTGTTTTTGAAGAGAAAAGAATTATGGGAGTTATGTGGCCTGGCAAAAAGAGGGCAAAAATTGCTCCTGCCTAGAAAAGCACCTAAATCAGTCCACGGATTATCTATACATTGCATTTTCCTCACCTCCTTCCTGGGTCTGACCATTCAGATATGTATCGCTAGTGCCATCTTGGGGATTTAATTTCCACACACACGTGGGCTCACTTTGGTTTGGGGCTCCAGCACATGCGCAGAGGGAGCTCTACTGTTTATCTGAATGGAAGTGGCCTCAGGAGGCTGCTGTTTGTCATTTTGGGTGTACCATGTGTACTGACAGGACTGATTTCACACAAGAGCTGCGCCGCAGTCACGCCTCCCTTTGCCCCACTTCTATTGGTTAATTTCCCACTCGAAGCCACATGGCCGCATTTTGACCTGTGGCTTCACCCGATTTCCCCTGCGGTTTCGTGATCCTGTTTTTTGAGGATCACGAAACCACGGGGAAAATCGGGCAAAGCCACGGGTCAAAATGCGGCTGCGTGGCTTCGAGTGTGAAATTGAATTCCTTCAGTGGTGCCCTTCAAGAATTCCTTCACTGAATTCCTTCAGTGGTGCCCTTCAAGAATTGGGCCCATGTGTATCTGGGAATTAAGTTTCCAGCATGGAACTCGCAACATATATCTAACCATATGGACCCAAGGAAGACCACACGAATGCTTTTTTTCTCACCATAGATGGCACACTGAGGTGATATCTGAGCAATATGCCATAGTCGCAAACTAGTCCCAGCTTCGAGTTTAGCGCACCACTGGTCAGAAGATCATTTTGCGGTGGCAACACACTTATTGGGAAGCTGAGTCTGTGGTGGAACAATTTCCTTGCCTTAATTTTCCTTCAGTGGTGCCCTTCAAGAAGTCACCGCAAATAGAAAAGTCGTCCCCAGGGTGTTGTGCAAATCAACTAATTTTCTACCCTCCAAATATTTATTTATTTACAAAATTTATATCGCACATTTCTGCCTCACCCGGGCTACCAAAGTGGTTGACAATTAAAACGAGTGTTATAAAAACAGAGCATAAAACCCACACTGAAATACATATGTGAATATACAGAGTACGACAGTTAGAATATAGGGCAGGAAGGAGGGATCCCTGAGGGAACTGAAGATGAAACAAAAAACTCTTCACCTGCGGACAGTGATAGAAGGGAACAGATGAGTGCACCCAGGGAGGGAGTTCCATAATTTTGGTGCCATGACCGAAAAGGCCCTTTGTTGGGGTGTCAGCCATATAATCTCATAAAATGGGGACACCCTGAGCAGCGCCTCAGAAATGACTGTACCAGTCAGGTAGGTTCATGTGGAAGTAGGTGATAGTTATGGTATGCTGGTTCCAAATTATATAGGTCTTGAAAGGTCAACACCAGCACTCTGAATTGGGCACTGAAACAAATTGGAAGCCAGTGTAGGTGAGCAAGACTGGAATGATGCAGTCTGTACAACCAGCAGTCTTTTACTGCCATTTTTATGCCTTTGGCGGGGCTTTCCTTTCTCTCCCTGTTCTTTAGAGTGAACCTGGCTCTTGCCTATACGGAGCTCACGGAGGAACTGTGCCGCCTGAGGAACCTGAGTTCTCTGCAAAGCCAGATTCTCCGGACGCTTATGCAAGAGCAGGCTGTCAATGGTGGTGAGTACAGCGTGGGTGGGGAAGGAGATGGGCCTAGGGTTGCCAGCCTCCAGGCGGGACATGGAGACCTCTCAAAATTACAACTGATCTCCGGACTACAGAGGTCACTTCCCCTGGAGAAAATGGCTGCTTTGGAGGGTGGACTTTATGGTATTATACCTTGCCGAGGCCCCTCCCCAAACTCAAAGTTCCCAAGCTGGAGTTGGCAACCTGAGTGGGCCTGTGCTGGATTCAGTAGCTGTTCAGAGGGAGCTTCAGGTCCAAAGCTGTGACAGTGTTTAAGTTACAGTTCCTGAAGATTAGGTGCGTAAGTGTGTGTGGAATTGGGGGCCCTACTGAAAAGGGAAAACGTACCCTCATCTCCCTCCCGCAACCAACCAGAAAGAACATAAATGCAGCGTAGAGGTACAGATGCAAAGTGAATGCCTCAGGTGATTCACAAGAGGTACTGTCAGGCTCAGGTGGGGTGTCACCTGGTGCTGCCACCACTCTGGATTTAGGATCACTTGAGAAGGCCCAGAGCACCCTCCCAAGACCTTCAGACCTCCCTTTTGGCCTAATAATAGGCGTGAGGACCAGGCAGAGTAAACAACATGGAAAAGGTTTATTTTATAGGAGGTCAAACAAACAAAAGAAGGTGCAGGAATAATAACAGTAAGTGGGTGAAAAGAAAAGAAACCAAATGCCCTAACGTGTCTAAACTTAGCTCACTGTCCCTAGCTCACTGTCTCAAGTTGGCCTCAGTCTACTCACCCTTCCTCTCAAGATGAGGGTCTCTTCCCTGCAGTAGCCTTCCTTCTGACTCTGCCCTCTTGGAAGAAAGAACAGTTTCTCCTCTTGCAACAGTTCTTTTATTATAAGTCCCCTTTCTCTGTGATTGGCTAATTTTGGCTCCAAAACCTCTTAGGGGCTTCTGGGAGCCTAGTCTCCTCCCACTTGCTTGCACAGCCCAGATCATGACAGGTACCATGCAGCCATTCAAAGCGATGTTTCTCCCTCCCCATCCCCCACCCAAAGTCACCAATCTGTTTGGCTTCACCTGGCCAAATACAGTGATCACTCAGACCCCAAACTTGAGCAAAAACCATTTGGTGCGTTACCACAAAAGCTGAGAGGCCCTTCCTGTGGCCTGGAGTGGGAGAGTTCCACTCTGAAGCTTGCCCTCTTGCCTGCTAATAACATCAGTGGCTGATAGCCTTGGTGGATTCATACCCAATCGATATCTTTGCTAGCTCAGGGCTGAGTCAGTAGCTTGTATCCTTCCACTCTTGCTCAGCAAAGTCTAACGTTTTCCTCCAGCCAGGGAATGGTTCTTTTGGGCTGCAGGAAAGCTTTAAGTTTGGCTGATACAAGGCAGTGGATGGAGGACACAAGTCAGTGGATGGGTACTGTGGATTTGGTCCAGTGACTTCCTTCCACCAAGTTGGATCCAGTGGCTCTCTCTCGAACGGGGCTGTGGCTTGGTGGTAGAGCATCAGTCCGATCTCCGGTTAAAGAGTCAGGTGGTAGGTGATGTGCAGGAACGCTACCTAAGACCTTGGAGAGCTGCCGCCGCTCAGAGGAGATAATAATGACCTTGATAGACCAAGGGGCTGACTCTGTATGAGGCTGTGGTTCAAAAGGGGGAGGCTGTGGATCAGTGGCAGAGCACTTGCTTTGCAAGCAGAAGGTCTCGGTTTTAATCCCTGGCATATCCAGGTAAAGGGTCAGGTAGGAGTTGATGTGAAAGACCTGAGACCTCAGAGAGCCGCTGCCAGTCAAAGTAGGCAGTACTGACCCTTGATAGACCAAGGGTCGGGCAGTGTATGGTGGCTTCATGGGTCCCACTAACCCTTCGACAGAGAACGCTTTCTTTTGATAAGGGTGCTGGTCCATTGTTGGCTGTGTCAGCCCTCACTCAGTTCAGCCTTCACTTGGCCGTCACTTCGTTCAGAAGTGACTCTTGTTAAAGAAACCTGAACATAGGCCAGAGGTGTAAGCATTCCTTTTGCATCATGGGTGTTCAAATAGCTTCTCGCTGTTGTAGATTAGATCTACAGGTGGGCAGCCGTGTTGATCTGAAGCAGCAGGACAAATTTTAAGTTCGGTGGCACCTTTAAGACCAACAAAGGTTTATTCAGGGTATGAGCATGCACGCTTTATCGGAGGAAGTGTGCGTGCACACGAAAGCTCACATCTTGAATAAACCTTTGCTGGTCTTAAAGGTGCCGCCGGACTCAAAATCTGTTGTAGATTAGGTGGCTGGTTTTGATGCCCAGGCCACTGGTTGAAGACAGACGACAAAGTGGTAGCTCTCCTCCAGCCTCGGAACATCTGTTCCTTCTTGGAGCAACGATGTGATTCTTCTCTCGCTCCTGTTCCTTTCCAGGGCATCGCCACTCTCCGCACTCACAGCGCCATTCTCCTGCTCAGCAACGTCGCTCCCCAGCTCCCCAGTGCACCTCTCCAGCCCAGCAAGGGAGACCGTCCGTCCCTCAGTGCCAGTCGCCAGCCCTGCAGAGACGGTCTCCGGCACCGCCCTGCCAATCCCCCGCCCATCAACGTCGTTCCCCGGCTCCGCCTCCTTGCCAGTCGCCTGCCTCGCAGCGCCGTTCCCCGGCACCACTGCCCGGCCAGTCTCCCGCCCAGCAGCGCTGCTCGCCAGCCCCAAACTGCTCTTCCTCCGCCATCACCTCGCAGCACAGATCTTCGGGCAGCGAGAGAAGCATCATGGATCTGGGCTACGTCAAACCCTCCAGCCACCACATCAAAGCAAGCTTCCAAGGGCGCCGGAGCTATTCGGAGGTGAGAGACGCGGCTATGTACCAGCAGAACAGCTCTCTCTGGCTGCAGCCGGAAGCTTCCACCTTACCAAAGCACCGTCCCTACGGCGACGTTTACGCCAGAGACGCCTTCGAAGAGCACTTGCGCTTCGAGAAGCAATCCTCAGACGAAGACGACTGGGCCCTCCCAAGTCCCCCCAGCCCTGAAGCCGGGGGAATTCGCTGCTCCTCTTTCTGTGCAGGGTTCCCCATCCCCGACGCTTCCACGCACCGGACCGATGCCTCGTACTCCAGGGCTGAGCACGCTCAGTCCTGGCCCTCAATCAATGTAAGCATCATCCAGTTCTGTGGTTGTTCTGTGCTTTGCCCCCATCCAGATTTTAATACCAAGTCCGGAATCACTTTAAGAATATTTGCCTACAGTATATTTGGGGTGTGTGTGTGTGTGTTTGCTTATAAACTCTAACAACAAAGGTCCTTGAAGACTGATCTATTGCAGCAGCATGAGCATTTGTGGATCAGAATCTAGTAGTTGTAACAGTGGTGTAGTAAAGGAGTGGGGGATGAATTTGTTTACCAACTGAGGTTTAAAAGGCCCACGCAGTATAAGCAGTTGTGTAATCCTTCGTAAATCTCAATGAGAAAGGGTGACTTATAAATTAAGTAAGTAAATAAGCAAGCAGTGAACAGGAATGAGATCCAGTCAAAAGAGTAAAAGATCCAGTCAGAATGGGTATGTGATAAGAGCCAGTGTGGTGTAATAGTTAGAGTGTCAGACTAGATTCTTGGAGACCCAGGTTCGAATCCCCACTCTGTCCCAGGAGCTTACTGGGTGACCTTGGGCCAGTCTCTCAGCCTAACCCACCTCATAGGGTTGCCGTGAGGACAAAATGGAGGAGGGGAGAACACAAAGTCAGCCACTTTGGGGAGAAAAGCAGAGTATAAATGAAGTTAAATAAAGATGAATTAACACCGCAAGATACATCCAGTATATAAACCTCTAAGGCGTAACAACTACTTTTTATAGCGAGCTAGCTCAACTCCCAGTCCCAGCTGTGCCCAAATATGATTGTGCTGGGCTTGCAGGTGAATTCCAGCTCAGCGTCTTCATGTTGGAGTCTCCCTCTGAAACTTTTTCAGTCAAGTATGAAAACTCTCAAGTCTATTACAGGATGCCTCTTCAAATTTTCTGTAGTTTTCTACAGCCCTCAACAAAAGAGTTTCAAAGGGAGATTCCTTCACGAAGGGGCAGCACTGGAGTTCGTTTGTGTTTTGACTTGTCCTACTTAAGCTCAAGAGAAATCAGGAGAAGTTGGTTTAGTACAGAAAGGGATGATCCCTCTGGCATCACCAATTAGAAGACAGTCATAAACAGTCTGATTGGATGTTTCAGAAGAGTTGGCTTTTATACCCTGTTTTTCTCTACCTGAAGGAGTCTCAAAATAGGTTATGATTGCCTACCCTGCCTCTCCCCACAACAGGCACCTTGTGAGGTCGGTGGGGCTGAGGGAGTTCTGAGAGAACCGTGACTGGCCCAAGGTCACCCAGCAGGCTTTATGTGGAGGAGGAGTGGGAGAATCTAACCTGGTTCTCCAGATTAAAGTCAGGTGCTCTTAACCACTACACCACTTTTGACTGGATCTTGTTGTCTTTGGTCCTCTACATAAATAAAGGGCTGGATCCCACGGAAGATTTCCATCTGTGTTAACAGTCCTTCTGCAAGCTCTCAAACAACTCCTTGCTGTGTGTTTGTACTAAGTAGAAGTGCTTCTATCTGTGTTATCTGTGTGAGCAAGACCCAGCGCACTATATTTCTTCCGATATAATTTGCAAACAAACGTAAGAACCATGCAAACTGCCGGTTGTGCATTCCCGTCACTTTGTATGCGCACTGTTATCTGGTTAAAAATTATACTGAAGGCGCAGTTTGCTGCTGCATACCTTTGTGTTACTGCTTATTCAAGCAGAACTATGCTAATCACTTTTTTCTTCCTGCTCACACATCACTGGATCCAGCCCAGCTGGTTGGTCTGAACAGTTCCCTCCATCTTTCTTTTTGGTTTTTCCCCTCATCAGCTCTGGGCTCAAAGGCCATCGGGAGTGGCTAGCTCACGACAGAAAACAGTTGTTGCTTTTTACAGATTTGTGTACACCATGTCTCTGGCTCTGTCAATTCGTCACCAGTCAGAAGTGGGTCACATCCGTTCTGATTGGATCTTCTACCTTTTTGACTGGTTGTCATTTGTACTTTGAATAATCACCACTTAACATTGCTTGACCTTTTGGTCTCAGTTTGCAAAAAGAAACCCCAACAACCTGGATTTTTCTTTTTCTTTTTGGTGGCAGCAGACTCATATGACCTCCCCTCTGGAGACTCAACAGGTTTTTGTCAGAGTTTTTAATGGGAAGTATTTGAATGTCACAGACTGAAGACTTGAGTGGAACGAGAAGGAATATGTAGGCAACTGTTTCTGGGAGGATGGGGAGGGGGCTGTCTTGGACCCTCATAAATCTTGTTAGGGTACAGGGTTTTTTTTACCATGTTCGGTGTAGTGGTTAAGTGTGCAGACTCTAATCTGGGAGAACCGGCTTTGATTCCCCACTCCTCCACTTGCAGCTGCTGGATGACCTTGGGAAAGCCATAGTTCTGTCAGAGCTGTTCTCGAAAGAGCAGTCCTTGGAAGAGCTCTCTCAGCCCCACCTGCCTCACAGGGTGTCTGTTGTGGGGAGGGGAAGGGAAAGGAGTTTGTAAGCCACTCTGAGACTCCAAGTGAAGGGCGGGGTATAAATCCAATCTCCTTCTCTTCTTTCAACTAAAAGATAAATTACAATACATAAAAGCAGGGGTCCCCAGCGCCTCTTTGAGATCTCAGGGATAGGGTCTCCAGGTCCCTTCGTCCTTCCAGTGGGGGGTTTTGGGGGGCCCTGCACATCGCGGCCCCCACCCTGCTCTCAAAAAGAGCCTTTAAAGGTGTGGCTGGTGCTGCGGCCAGTGACAGCCCTTCTCCCTCCCTGCTGAAAGATTTAAAGGGCCCTCCAGCTGATCGGCAGGCCACACACTCCCTGTCGATGAGCTGAGGCCCTTTAAATCGCTGCAGGAGGGATGGGAGAGGGGTGGCTGCAGCGTGGGATGGTGCTTGAGGGCGGGGCTTCCCCCATCGGACAGCTGACCGGGGCAGATTGGAGCCCCCAGAAGCGGGGTGGAAGCCCCACCCGGACCTAGGGGGCCGGCAACCCTACTCAGGCACCTTTGGAATTCTGTTACAGGATGATGAGCACAGCCACAAAATGGCTAACACAGGAAGCGGAGCCAGCCACAAAATGGCTAACACAGGAAGCGGAGCCAGCCACAAAATGGCCGCTGTAGCTTACCTTCAGTCACCCACAGTGAATATCTTTGTGCTGTGGCGGCAGCTGCTGTCAAAGTAAGGTTTTTAAAAATCTGCCCAGCCAATCAGATCTCCAGTGGTCAATCAGAAGCCCTGCTGGGCAAAAGCTCCACCTGGCCCAGCCCACTTTGTAAAAGCAGGTGCCAGGAAAAAAGGTCTGTGGGCAGCATGGCACCCACAAGGGCACCACATTTGGGACCCCGGCATAAAAGCAGCCGCTTAGTCCAAGCCTGTGAGGAAAACCACCTGCCGAAAGAACAAATACTGTATGCTGAAATTCGTCCTGTGGTTAGTAAAAACAACAACAACAAGTAGGGAAGTCTTGTGATGATCCTGTGAGATCCCCAGACTGACAAGCTTCCAGGATCTGAACACTGGGAGTAGAAACAAAGGGCTCTTTTTGTAGCAGGAACTCCTTTGAGCCAGGTTTTTCACTCAGTCCCACCAATTTCCGCTCCTTACTATATCCTACATCCCCTGTGGTTTTTGTGCATGCAGGTCCTGTAATTTCTGGAATTGCCTTTTTGGTTGGTCCCAAACGGCTTCTTTTTCTCATTAGCAGAAAAGATGATTGGATGCAACCCCAAATGTACGTACTTTCTTATAGCTGAGTATGGAAATGGAGAGAGAAAATTATTTTTGGAAACTGCGGTGGGAGGTAGTCTTTCTGGGCTGAGAGATCAGCCTAAATCAAGTTTCACACAAATCAGGGGTCAGCAGCCTTTTATAATTAAAGAACCAAACTTAGGGCAACATTCAGAGCTAGAGATCGACAAGGAACCAGTATAAGAAAGCCAGTTGGCATAACTGAAGCAATTCAGTTCAGCTAATAATTGATGTATCCATTAACAACCCATTAAGTTTCTTCTGCCCAAGCACTGGTCGTTGTGAGTCCTTTATTAGGAAGTGGCACACACAAGGACTTACAATTATGTGTTTGTGTGTGTATGTATAAGGACTTTGCACAATTGTTTACACTGTAAACGTCTCAGGGCAGGGACCTGTTTTCTTGTACTCTGCAAAGTACCAAGCACACTGGTGGCAGTAAACTAATTTCCTGCTCAACTTATCTGTATAGCTGAAAGCAGGTTACAGTTTATCCAATTATTATTTTTAAGAATTATCCTATATCAATGTATGCTAAAAATGTTGGCACTTTCCCCCCAAACTTGGAGATCCTTCTTAATCAGATCCCCCAAATTCTACAAATTGTTAAAGAAATTGTATATTGGAGGTTTTCAGAGAAACTCAGCAGCTGCACTGAGAAGAAAATACTAAGAATTTTATTTATTTAGCTCCATTTATATGCCACTGTTCTCCCCAGTGGGGAGCCAAAGCAACTTATATCATTCTCCTCTCTTCCATTTTATCCTCACCTCCTCTATTTTATCCTCATAACAACCCTGTGAGGTAGGGCTTTGCCGAAAGTGAGAGACTGGCCCAAGGTCACCCAGCAACCTTCTATGACTGCTGAGGATTTGAACCTGGGTCTCCCAGATCTTAGTCTGACAATCTAACCACTACACCAAATGGCTCTAATTTAGTTGGTACTTTTCTTGAGGTTTCATTTAACTGGTTTCCTTCCAGCACTTTCTTGATGACTTTCCAGCTGCTCTTTCAACACTCAGCCAGACCCCTGTTTTTGTTGTTTTTTGTTTCTGTAATAAAAAGCAGCAGCAAAAGGAATTAGAAACATCTGCTTCGAACTAAGGGTGTTTCCACATTAACTTGTTTTCCCTGGCATAGAGACGTTTCGTGTCTCTTCACTCATTTGTTGCTGAGAATCCCACCTGGAGAACATCAAGAATCCAGGTGATGTCTCTCCAAAACTCGGGGTTTTCCCCCTTCTCTAAGGCATCCTTTTTTATGATGTGATTTGTGACATGGCAGGTAGATGAGAGTGTGTGACGGTACCCTCTCTTTCTATGAACCCTTCTTTCTATCTCAGCTTGTTTCAAAATGGCGTCCCTTTGCTGGCTGTGCCGCTTCATTATTTAAACGACAGCCCCGCGTTGGCTACTTGAGTGGATATGTCCAAAAGCTCTTAACTCCAGTCTGGTATTTATTTTTTGGATGCTCAGTTGCTTTTTTGTTTCATTAAGAAGTGGGATTGTGGGGTGGGGAAATCCCATTCCGTTATCAACCCCCCACCCGCCTTCTGGGTGCAGCCCTGGTTTTCCTCTGTGCCGCTGGCTCCCCCCCCTCACCCACTCACTGGGGCTCCAGCTGTGCTGTCCTCCATCCTGACTTTGTTATCCTCCTCTTGGGCATGCCATTTTGGGTTACTACAACAACCCAACATAGCTGCCCAAGTTTCATTTCTTTTAAACTCCCTATTAAACAAACAAACAAAAAAATTACTTATTTTTGGAAAATTGGGGTTGAAGAACCTGAAATTGTAAGCATGGTTGGCCCTGTTGTTTGGATATTTTGATCTGCATGAGAGGGCAGTCCTTTTTTAAATTACATATGAGGATGATTACTACGGATCCTCAAGCAATGAAAGCAGAGGTCACGGGATTACCTTAGAGTTGCTACTGTCAAGGGATGGGGGGGCGGGTAGGGTTGCCAGATCCAGGTTGGGAAACCCCTGGAGATTTGGGGGTGGGGTCTGGGGAGGACAGGGCACCTCAGTGGGATACAATGCCAAGCATCCATTTTTTTCTGCTCACCTCTGTAGTCTGGAGAGGAGCTGTAATTCAGGGGATCCCCAGGTCCCACCTGGAGGCTGGCATCCCTAGATTACCTGCAAAAAGTTTGGATTTTCTGGACACTTGAGGGAACAAGGGGGGAAACAGAATATGTAGGGGAAAGACACTTCCTATGGATCATTTATACCAGAGACAAATGCGCATAATGGCACATATTTTGGGAAACTTTTTTTTTTAAGGGAAGGGATTAGCCCCCAGTAGTTTGCCATCCAGTTCTAGCTGATTAATAGTGACTGTGGGGATGAAAATTGCAGGAGGAATAATATTGCATTAATATTGTATTGAGAATGACCAAACACGAAGCCAGTTGCAAACAGATTGTAGGAGATTTGCTGCATGAGGAAAACTGAAGGTTCTTACTCATATGGAAGCATCCAAGGGCCACTGGGAAAACCACGGTTATTGTTATGATTTTCATTTATACGTCTCCTTTATCATTGGGACCCAAGGCAGATTATGAGTATAATAAAAGATCTTCAATCAATCAGAAGGTGGATTACAAAATATGATAACATCACTCAGTCAGTCAATCAGTAGGCGGATTACAAGATATGATAGCAATATTTGAATATAACAGCAAAAATTTCTAATCTAAAAAAATGCAATTTTTTTCTTGCTTCTGTTGGCTGTTGCTGGTAAATGATACTTTGACTCTTCTTGTAAGGGAGGGGGGCTGAAAAGCACCATTCCCCACCCTGTGCATCCCCTCCGGGAATTTTCCAAAGCCTTTCACGTGCTTTCTATGTTACCGTGGCTCCCTTTCTCTGACAGGTGTGTGTTAATTTTGGGACCAAAAGGAATTTCACCTCAACTCATGTTTTGTGTGTGTGTGTGTGTGTGTGTACGTGTACATGAGGGAGGGGAGGTATGCTGTTCCAAAGAGGTATGGGCACTTTCACACGCACTAAATAACACACTTTCAGTCTGCTTTCAATGTGCTTTGCAACTGAATTTTGCTGTGTGAAATGGGAAAATCCACTTGCAAATGGTCGCTGAAGTGGATTGAAACTGCATTATGTAGCATGTGTGAAAGCACCCTGCAGTGTGTGTCAGAAGGATATACTTGCTTCTTAAGGATACTTGCATATCTAATTTAATTAACAAATTATATTTGTAAGCTTTCTTTCTCCATCCTGTATCCCTTAGTTGCTGATGGAGACAGTGGACTCTGACATCCGAAGCTGCCCCCTCTGCCAGGTGGCCTTCCCCATTGGTTACCCGGACGATGCTTTGATAAAACACATTGATTCCCACCTGGAGAACAGCAAGATCTGAGGCCTGCGCCGTCATCCCTTCTTCTTCTGGCTTCCTTAACAAGACCTGTCCACCTCAACCCACCCCACCTTTCTTGGATGCTGCATGAAAAGTGATGGAGCAACAGGGGCTCTCTCTAAAATACCTCCAAGTCTCCAGTAGACCGAGCCGTGAAGAGTTTTTGCCTCTCCCTCATCCCGTTCTCTTTGCCTTGGTTCTTTCAAAGTGGGTTTCTTCTCCTTCCTGCTCTGTATGAGCAGGACCTGCAATATGTCTCCAGTGCTTGAACCAGCTGTGGTGGCGGTGGGGTTGGAAGGGTGAAGTAGGGTACTTGGACCAGACTTAGTAGGCTCACAACCTTGCCCCGGTCTGGATGTTCAGAACTGAGACGGCCTTCTTGGAGGCTCTCTTGTCTATATGGTTCAGTTTTGATGTCTCTGGGAGATCTCAGGGTAGGATGAGTGAGAAATCACCTGTGGTTGTGTGTATTATTGTTGCGGCGTGTGGGGTGGGGTTGGAAAGAACGGATGGATGGGCGAATTCCAACCTGCTGAGGGTACAGCCCCACCACTCAGGTGAAAGAAATCGAAAGGTTTCGTTTTTGTGCCCATGTCAATGCAGGAATGTCCAAGTGGGTCAAATCCCCCCTGCCTTTTCAAGCTATTAAGGGCGGTCAGGCCCAAACCGTGTTGGTTGTTTATCGGACAGCGAAACCCTTGGCCTCCAACTTGCTGGTTTGAGCGTCTTCGTCTTGGTCTTTTACATTAAAAGCCCACTTCTTCTTTTAATGATGCTGCTGAGAATTTAGAGCCAACTTCCAGAAGTGTAGCATGGATGTTCTTATGTTAATTGCACTGGACATTATAACACACAAAAGCTTCTTTTTTGGCACTGAAGGAGCCTCCCTCCTTCGTGCCCGTTTCTTACATGGTGCGCCGGAGGAGCAGTCCACCGCCCACTTGGCTGGAGCTCCAGGAAGCGCCCACCTCCGCGTGACTGTCCGTGTTCTCTTTTGGCAACTGTTTTTCCACTCCCCTCATAAAGAACCTCTCACCTTGCTTTAGGTAGTTTGTTCCCGTATAACCAGAATTGTACTCACCACATTCTGCAACATTAATCTTCTGCAGTGACAGCATGTTAACTCTGTTTTTTGACAACAGCCTAAATGTAAACACCTTTCCTGTATCGGACATCCGCTGTTTACCTTTTGATCTCTCTCTCTCTCTCTCTGTCTCTCTCTGGCCTTACCAAGCATATCTTTTGCTGTTCTGATCTAAAATAATTGGCATGTCCTGGTTGGCCTCTCTCCGGGCCTGCGGTGCCTCCACATTGCGAGATCCATCTCCTTCAAATGGCCTGCCTGCACGTGGGGCTGCGGTCCGACAGTGCTGTGCTGTTTTTCTCCTCTTGAGCCCACTGTCTTCCCTAGCACCAGGTTCTTTATTAACAAATGTACATGTTTAGATATATAGCCTGCCTTATCCCAAGGGCTCCGGGTGCCCAAAACAGGCTTGGGGCCTTCTGCCTCATGGCCTAATTCACAAGGGCACTAGTAGGAGGAGGACAGAATTAAATGTAGAGCGTAAAGGTACAGGTGTTTGTAATCTCACTCCCTTGTTTCCACAAAACCACAGTGGTCTGTCCCAATGCATTTTTTTTTTGGGGGGGGGAAAGACTTGCAACTAAGATATCACTTTCTCCTCATCTATACTGTCTCCTGTCAGGGTTGCAAACTGCCATGTGTCTCCCCTTCCATCTCATTTCCTTTCTCCTCTTTACATGTGTCTGAATATATTCATTCTTAAGTCTGAGACTAATGTACATGGAAGGTAGAACTATATCCAGCAGCAGACCTCCCCCCTCATTTTCAAACGGAACAGACCGCTGTGAAGTGAGCAGGGAATCCCAAGTAGAGAAGCAACAGGAGGGAGATGGATTCTGAACCCTTCCTCCACCCACTGCTCCTTCCCACCGTGTCCTCCGAAACCCCTTTTTTGTAGCTGGTGGCTTATTTCCAGTCTCAGCTAGGAGAAAAATCAGCACCGGAAGGGAGGGGGTTGTAGGGGGAAATGTGGTGGGAGGTCAAAGGCTTCTGACCCCCTCCTGCCCTCCCATTTTCTCTGTTTCAGTTGCCTCCTACCTTACAGCTGTGGCCCACATTTGAAGACCCACGTCTGCCAATGTTATCCCCTCTACCCATGAACATTTGAAACAGGCCAAATATTAAAGGAGGACTGTGTGTTTGCTTTATGTATAAGTTTGGTTGACATCTCGCCAGTCTCCCTGCAATTAGAAAACAAGCAGTATAAGCCAAGAAACCATTTCTCTCTGCTATTTTTCTGTTTGGCTGGAACTTTTTTTTTTTTTTTTAAATATATATAAGGGAACATTCAAAGCTGGAATCTGCTACCTGAAGTGGAACAATCCATTTTACTCACTTCATGGCTCAGCCTTTGTGAGGTAATGCACACCAGAGTCCCAAATGGATTTGGGGTGGTGGTGGTTTGGGTTTGAAAGTCTGATATCCCTCACTGCCATAGCTGTACCCTCCTACCTCAGAACAAATTTTGAGTCCGGTGGCACCTTTAAGACCAACAAAGTTTAATTCTGGGCATAAGCTTTCATGTGCACACACACTTCTTCAGATGCAGTGTGCATACACACAAAAGCTTATACCCAAAATTAAACTTCGTTGGTCTTAAAGATGCCCCTGGACTCAAACTTTGTTCTCCTGCCTCAGACCAACACAGTTACCCACCTCCTACCTCAGGTCAGTTATGGGGCCTTCTTAGGCCAAACTGCCTGAGAGCCCTCGAAAAGTCAGAGCCAACCCTGACCCATGAAAGAAAGAGGACAGAAAGTCTATATAGACTAGCATTTATGACTGACTGACTGTTCAGGTTATTCATCCATTTCACAACCTTTCTCTTCATACCTCATCCCAAATTAGTTGTTTGGTGAAAATGTTCTCAGCTTGGCAAGGCAATTAGATTCAGCCATATGTCTCCATTCCTTCTCAGAATCTAATGAAACAGATGAATCCTATTCCACTTCCATCTAGCAAGTCGCTCTAAAGGGAACTTCTGGAGGGGATGTGTGTAAAGCTATTGTGTATCTCCTGTTCATGGCAATGCGGAAGTGCAGGAGATTTTGCCAGTGGATTGTGTACCCCATAGCTCTGATCTGCCTGTCTCCCCCTCTGCTTCCCTTAATGCCCGCCATCATCTGCCGCCTGAGGTGGTTACTTCATTTTGCCTCATGATGGGGCTGCTTTGCGCACTCGCATGTATTTTATAATCAATGACTGTTACACCCCCTCACAACTGCCACACAGAACCCATTTTAAATGTCTCTTGAGTGAGATATCACTACACAGTGGATTGTTTGTGTCAAGTGGTTGAACACAAAGATTGTGCAGATTGTAGCACCCTTACAAATGGCCCTAAATCAAAATGTGTAGAAAACTCTCCCAACACGCATAGTAATCCACTGTAGGCACATGAACAACTGACAGTATGGAGCTATTGAAAGACAGCTACCTAACAGTTGGCCATATTGTATGAACCTTCCCTGTCATACACCCTAAAAATTAGCCACGGAGAAATTCCATCCACATAAATTGTATTACGTTGCTGATTACTGGGGGAATTTTTTAGCAAGAGAAGAGCCAAGTTCTATGGAATGAGGCCGACCATGCATCTCTTACAATTTGTCACTTTTCTTCTGTTTCTCTATGTGAAATCTACCTCAGAGTTAATGAGAAGGAGTGATAAACAAGCAAAAAAAGGGGGGTGGGGTGGGGGTTGAGTGATGAGCTTTTTTAAAAAATGATTTCATTTTTAATCTGTAGCTGAGCACTTCCTAAGGGCTGAAATATTATTCAGATTTTTTTTCTCTCTGTCCCATAGGTTCACCATTTAAAAAATAAACATATGTAAAGAGACTGGGAAGGAAAGGACTGGCTCGTGAGGTGGTGAGGAAGATCTGCATCTAGCTATTTCACAAGGTCTTTCTCATCTATCTGAGCTTAGGGTAGCGTAATGTCTATGAACAAGGGACCCAAAAGATCCTTTGTTTAACAGTCACCGCTGCCATGAACTGAGTGGCTGTAGGCAAAAATGTGCATTCTCATTGTGTTTGTCAGCACAATACCTTGGATCCCAAGGTGCCATTCTACCAGTGCAGCAAGCCAGCTACTCTGACAGAACAACTTTTCCATCTCTGGAGGAGTGGAGGGAGATTTTTGCCGATTTCCCCCTCCTGACCCACAGGAGCACAATTTAGGGGCACAGAAGGCTGTGCTGAGAAGGGGGAGGCACAGAAGGTGCCATCCTGTGGTGTGACTCCGTGCCCGCTGCTTAGAATGCAAACCATTTTTTCCTAGAGCCCCTCAGAAATGGACAGTAAATGGTTGGGGAAGGATAGCAGCAAGAGCTTGATAAAGGTAGACTGTTCCTGTGTCTGTGAGGCACTGTCCTAATTCCCAGCTCTTCTTTTGAAGTTTATTTAACACACACACACACACACACACCTTTAAACATTATGGAACTACCAGGGGCTTATGTCCTGAGGACTATTATAAATCCATACTTGTGAAGAGCATTCACATAGTCCACGTCTTATGTTTCAGCGTAATTACTCTGGCATACAAAGAACTCTATTAATATTGAATGAAAAGCACCTGCTCAGTCTCTCAGTGGCTATTGGCCATGATACTCAAATGAAACCTCCATGTTTAGGTGTGATATACCTCTGAATACCAGGTACTGGGAACAACAGGGGAGTGGTGATTGTCTTAGACCTAAACTAGACATGACATTTAACACATTACTCTCTTGGGGACTGGCGGTCACATTGCAGCTACAGGTTTCCTGTGGGAACTCCCAAAGTGCTACAAGGGCCCCATTTGGATTGGGACTGCAGTGCAGGGGGGGAGGGGCTTCACCCAACCTGAAACAGCTGCAGGGGATACTATGTGCCCTTCTGAGAGGATGTACATAAATTGAATACTGCAGTGCACCCTCTCAATGGGGTAGGGAGAATGACATGAGGGAGGGGGGTGAAGCCCATTCCTTCCCCCAC